CCCCCCCCCCCGCCCCGCTGGAGGTTTCCACTGGAAACTGCAGCTGAGAAAGGACGAGTGAAGGTCACACAGCGAGAGCCATAACGAGGCCGAGTAGAAGGGGGAGAGATGGAGAGGTGGGGTGAGGAAAAGATGGGGCAGGGGTGGGGGAGAGGGAGAGCTGGGGAGAGACAAGGAGGGGGGCAGAGAGGGAGGAGTAGAGAGTCGGGCAAAGGCGGGGAGAGACAGAGACAAACCGTGATGAGGTGAGGTAGAATGGAGAAGGGGACGAGAAGGATGAGACAGACGGAGAGACAGATGAAGCAGGAAAGTTAAGAGACCCTGGGGAACTGGGGCTGAGAGAAGGAGAGATGAGGTGGGACAGAGACAGGCTGGAGACTAGAAGCCAAAGACAACTAGTTGGAGACAGGAGGGGGCCGGAGCGGTGAGGGAAGCCAGACTGAGTGGGACAGCGTGGGGGAGAGGAGAGGCTGGGCCCTCCTCTCGGGCACGCTGCCGGAAGCCGGGAGCTGTCCGTTCAGCACCGGCCCGGCGCGACTGTAGCGCACTGCCCTGTCTCCCTTGTAGGGCCTACCTGCCTTCTCGGTCCTTGGGGAGGCCACACCCAGGAGACCCCGCCTGACACACAGGACCCCCCCAGTCTCCACCTGGACCCTTCTGTGTCCCTGGCACTTGTGTGTGTGCCCCTCCGGGACAGGTGTGGGGGCGAGCTGGTCTCAGTGTCTCTGTTGGTCTGCACATCAACTGCACAGACTTTAATCAATGTCTCTGCCCTTGGGCCGAACTCTGTGTGTTGAGGTGACTAGAATATGATTTCTGGTCTCTCCACTTCTCGATCCCAATACCATGCAGCTGATCTCTAAGGTCTCTCCCCATTTCCGAGTCCTCCTACTTGTCCCCATTTCTGTTCCAAGTATCTCCTGGGTCTTTATCTCTGAGTCTCCCCAGTTTGCCAAATGTGTCTCTGCCTGGCTTTCTATGTCCCTGTGTCTCTCTGTCACCTTCACTGAGCAATTCTGTTGCTCTGTTTCCCTCCATCTGTTTTCTCATCTGACTTTGCTGGCCTGTCTGTCTTTGTCAGTCAGTCTGTCTGTATCGGCCTCTATCTGTTCCTGAACTGTGTCTATTTCTTCTCAAGTCTCTCCTTATGTTTCTCTCACTGAGCTCCCCTGTCCCTGTCCATCTCTGTGACCTTCCTAAGTCTTCCCTCCTCCCCCTCAACTTCCGCAGAGCCTCGCGCTGGGAGCACGGTGCACAGTCATCAGTCTCACCAGGCTAGTGTCTGAGGAGGGAGTGCATAAGGGGGGGGACGTAGCCTGTATCTGGGGTGTCATTTGGGGGGGCCAAGGTCTCCCCCAGCACAACTGGAGAATGGAGGAGAGAGGGCCTAGAATCTCCAGGGATCCAAACACCCTATTAGGCATCTCTGTCCCTGTCCCCCCATCCCTTTCCCCATGGTCCAGGCCCATCCCTGCCAGAAACAGGCAAGGTGTGTGTGGGGGAGGGATGATATGGGTCCTCCCCCCACCACACACGCCCCCAGGAAGGGGGCAGAATTGCAGAGGGGACCTGGGTGCCAACCACCTGGGCTAGAAGATGTGGCTCCCCCCGCCCTTCCCCAGTCTCCATGGAGACAGGCCAGGTCTGCAGGCCCAGCCTCCTTTGCTGCATATTCGGCCTCCCTATTACCATGGCAACAAGGGACAGCAGGGAGGGATGGGGATGGGTCAGAGTACAGGATTGGGCCGAGGCTCTGGGTGCTGGGGAAAGCCAAAGAAGCTGACTCCCTACGCCGCCTTTACTCTCTGGCCCTGTCTCCTCGTCCACGCTTGTCTCTCTTCGGCTTTGAATATCTGTCTCTCTGTTTCTATCTTTTTGTGTGTGTCTCACTCTAGCCTTTATTTTAGCCTTTCACATATTTCCCTGACCAGGTCCGTAACCTTCACTACCCACCCACCCCCCATACACACCAGGCTCACTCTGTGCCCCTTGCCTGTGTCCCCCACACATCCACTCCCACTTTCCGAGAAAACTACAGAGACAAGCTTTCCCTTGCTCTCTGCCCCTTCGACAGGCCCTAGGGAAAGTGTGGGGTGTTCCTCATAGAGCAAGGGGTGGGGGTGAGAGGCTGTGACACTCCTTAGGCTTCAGTGGGTGACTGATGGGGTGTTTTGTGTGTGTGTGTGTGTGTGTGTGTGTGTGTGTGGCAGGCCAAGGTGTGTGTGCTAGCCAAGCCTGTGTCTGTGCATACTGAGATGGGATGTGTGTGGCATGTGGGTGGGGGCATTGGGTTGTGTTTGCAGGTACAGCAGAGGTGTATGTGATCGCACTATACTATATGATGTGTGTAGTGTGGGAAGTGTGTGGGATGGTGTCGCGTGATCTATTTCTGTGAATTATTGTGCTGTGTGTCACTCTGTGTGCACCTTTTTGCCTGTCATTCACAATTAGCAACGCTTTGGCGATTGTGCCCTGTGGGCTTTTGCTCACTGGGGAGGGGCGTGTGTGCTGATGTGTGTGCTGTTGTGTGATTCTGCAGCAGTGTCCACAACAAAGGCTCGTGTGGTATGTGAGGCTGCGTAAGGCCTATGTGTGTGCAGTGGTGCCGAGTGTGGATATGTGTTGGTCTATGGATTTACGGGTTTCGTGGTTGTCGGTCCCTGTGTGAAATGGGACGGGCCAGGTATGGCGGAGTGTGTGATAGGCATGTCTGTGATGTAGTGTTCTGAGGGTGTGTGTTAATCTACGTGGCACTTTATGACTGTGATTGTGATTCTGTTTTGTGATGGGAGGGCGTGTGTTTTATTTCCACGCGTTGGTGAATCTCTAGGGTTGTGTGATGGGGTGGTGTAGTAGGCACGTGAGGGTACAAGCTGGTGTGTTCTGGAATGTGATTGTGAAGCTGTGGGGG